TAAGAATATAGAAAAGACAAACAAAAAAATCGAATGTAACATCCTGCTATATGAAACACTTAACAATACCCCTCTTCTATTGTCACACCCTAGCCACTCTTTGGCCTAAAAACTTCCTTAGGAGGAAAAAAAAGCAAACAAACATGGAGAGCCACAGTCTAATATTTTGGAAACGTGTCTACTTCAGAAAAAGAATCAAGGAAAACAGAGGTAGTACAGAATGCATTCCATGGGAGGATGGTAGATGTTATAGAATTTTGACACATGGTTGCTTTATAACTGATTATAGTTCCCATAGCCACCATTTTGTGAAAGTGTGCATGAATATTCCAAATCTGTTCACCAGACTGAAAAAGTTGGAGACTCCACCTGTGGCCTTGTCCTACATAAGGAACCCACTCACTCATGAATTTTACCAGTCACACTTATGTATCTTAATGCTACCTTTTCTCTTTTCAGAATATTTGCTTTTCCAAAGTTCTATAATTTGTCTTGTCACTATTTTGTTGCTTGCTAATTTTAATTATATAATGTACCTATTTCACATGCCTTCACCAAACCACTAACTAGTTCTAAAAAAGATAAGTATTCTATGGAGCTAATAATTAGATTATGTTTTCCAGCAAACAGGTTAGCCCAGCTTTAAAGTAGTTTCACTACCCTTGTTATTGCATCCTTATCAGGTTTTAATTCTTGGAATGTGCAGTATTGTATGCTTAAAATTGGATCTCTTCTCCAGCATTTTTGTTAATCTCAGAAAGGCCTTCCATGAAACTTCTATGCAATAAAATCCCTTCAGAGCATATGATTACAGACCTTATCTTGACCCTGTGTTTTATTTCTATGGTTAGAAAGGCGCCATAACTTATTAAAAGCATTAGCAAACTAGACCAGACCAAACACCCATTTGATGTAGCATTCTGTTTTCCACAATGGCTAATCAAATGGTTATGAGGAATGAACAAGCAGAACACAAACACAATAACACCCTTGTATTTATGTTCCCATTACTGGGATTGGGAAATATGTCATATATGATTTAGCTAGATTATCATATGTCTGGATTTTTCAAAACAAATCTAATTTTTGCTGGGGGGGACGCGGTGGGGCAGCGGCTTAATGACGCTGAAAGTTGCCGGCCAGAAATGGTCGACACTTCAGTGGTTCAAGCCCAGCCGTCGCGTAGCAGAGTGAGCTCCTGCTTCCTCCCCCAGTTCCTGTCAACCCAGCAGCACGAAAACTTAC